CACCTCCCCAGGCCCATGAACCATTTCAGGGATGTGACTTCATACTTTTCCCCCAATTGTAATGGCACAGCCCAGAGAGGTTTTGCGGGACAGCCCATGTGGAAAACGACAGAGTAGCCATCAGCTTGGCTTCCTGAATGAATCTTTGGAGCCAACAGGGACCACCCTCCCTGGACTGTTATATAAGCAAGAGACAAACTTCTATTTTATTTGGAAGATGATATTTTGAGTTTTTTGGCAACATAGTTTGCATACTCCAACTCTTTATTCTTTCTCATTTTAGCTTTATCACAAACTTTCATGGTATACAAGCTCAATTTTACAGTTGAGATGACTATGACCCTTAGAGGTTAAGCGAGTGACCACGACACTGCAGTCCAGGTTTCTTCATTACGTAGCTAACGTTCTTCTCTTTTCTAAAGCTGCTGGTGCCATGTTAGATGTTCCTGTTTCACTCTGCTCTCCAGTCTCTCCTGCTCCCATCTCATCTCAGTCCCCATTACCCACATGGAGCAGAAGGAACAGGAGAATTTTTGAAGTGCTGGTAGGCTGCTCTTTAGTTATTATAAAGTCTCTGGTGTGTGTGGATGTGCAGCTTTAAGTCCTGTCAGCCAGATAAATTAAAACGGAGAAGCTTGAAAGGAAACACTGAGAAAGAGCTTTGTTGTTTCCTAAGGGGCAACCTTCCTAGTGGTATTTTTCCCAGGGATAATTCTTTGTCACCCAAAACCACAGGAGGAAGATAAATAATACCTCCCAGTGTGTTGACAGTAACTTCATAGATCAGGACAGGCTGTGGATGTAGGTCAGACCAAAAATATATAGTGGCAAGTACTGGCTATGATGCTAGACTGGCCAATGTTTGTCAACTGGGGAGTGCAGCCAGTCTAGCCAGGGTGGTCACCAAGACCAAAAAGAGAAATGCAAACAGTGTCGTTATTGCCCTGTGGTTACACTGCAAAGGGGTCCCTTGGAGGACCAAGAAGCCATAGACTCTACCCTGTAAAGAAATGGTTTTCAAACATTTTTTATTCTTTTCTACAGTAAGAAACATATTTTACATGTATGCTAAAACACACAAACGTGAGCATGCACACATAGGGATATTTATATAAAATTGAAACATATTTAAACAATACTTATACTTACTATTCTGATATTAAAAAAATGTTCCTCTAAATTGCTTTTATGGCCTACTGACGAGTTGTGACCCTCAATTCATCTGTCAGTCTGAAAAGATGTTTTAAAAGATGTTAGAAACCCTGAGAGTAGTTACTTAGTGTTAGGCAAGAGTGGGAAATAAGAAAATCAATTCCAGGGCAGATTGAGAGGTACAGGTAAGAAGAAAACTATACAAACAGCCACAAATCTAGCAAAATGCTAGAGTCTAAGTGCATGTAAATAGAATACATAAAACCAGAAGAAAAATCCAAGGTGATGGAAGACAAAGAAGTGAGCCAATGATTTAGAATCTTTAGAGCATGGCTAGAAATCTTCATTACAAGGAGGTATTGATGATACACAGAGTTATGATTCACACACACACACACACACACACACACACGCTCCCTGTAGCATGTGACTATGTACCCACGTTGGTTGTTTAAAAAACTACATACAGTTGTTTGGGTTGTTACCAGCTGTTTTTTTTTTTTGTTTGCCTAAGTACAATAGTTAAAACGTCTTAGAAATTTGAAAGCAAACACATCTGGATCAGGTGGACCTTCTCAACTATTCAGGCAAAATTTAGTAGATTTGAGGTCATTTATTTCCAAGGAACCAGAGCCTACAAAATGAAAACCAACAGAAATTCCTCCGATTTAGGTGAGGCAACGATATAGATTTCTGTAACTGAAGGAACGAAAGGGCTCTTAGAGATGTGGTCCACCGCCCCTTTATTTTAGAGATGAAGAGACCCTAATGCTCACCACAATTAACTGACAGCTGCTAGTGACAGAGGCTTGACTATAAACTCTAATCTCTAAACTCGGGACTAGAGAACTTTCTACAACACCTAGCTGCCCAGTGTTTAACTAACTGGTCCATAAACTGTGGCAAAATCCACAGTTATCTCAACTTTCTTAAGGCTCTGGATGTAATCATTAAAATGAGACAAACTCTCCGGCTTAGGCAAGTGTTAGCAGAAACTATAAGAAAGGAGGACTATACTTTTAAAAAATGATAAACAGTGAAAAATTCCTGAATAAAGAAGCAGACTATGGCTAACTCTAAATATATGTGTAGTCATGCACTGCATAATGACGTTTCGATCAATGACAGACCACATATACAATGGTGGTCCCGTAAGATTAGTACCATATAGGCTAGGTGTGTGGTAGGCTATAGCATCTAGGTTTGTTTAAGTAGACTCTAGGACGTTTGTATGACGAAATCACCTAACGATGCATTTCTCCCCATCATTAAGCGAGGCACGGCTGTATTCTATTCAGAACATTAAATTAGTGCTTCTCAAACTTTAATAAGCATAAGAATTGCATATTTAAATGTTAAAATGTGGATTTCTGGGCCTCTACCCCAGAGTTTCTGATTCACTAAGTGTGAGATGGTACCTGCAAATCTGCCTGTTAAGCAGCACCACAGGTGATCTGAGTAAGGGCAAGAGCATTCCACACCACCCCACCCCGGTCCCGCTCCCACTACACCTCGAGTTCCATGCAAGATGGCAAATGTCAGAGTCACAGTGCAAAGGGTCGCTGGGTCAAATGCCAAAGCTCTGTGACAAAGAGTTAGGTGACTCAGGTCAGCCCTACAGTCACATTCCATGCTTCCTGGATTGATCACCACACATGGGAGCAGAAACTCCTTCCACTCTTGTCTTCCGTACTGCACAACTGCCAGGTGCAGAAGTAACATTATCATTTTCATTATCATTAACAGTTACACTGCTTTTGGAATCTGTATCATGCTTCATGATGTTCATTAGTTAACTCTTAGAGCACATCAGTGAATATGTTGGTGCTGTTCCCACTCTCCCACAAGAACAGGCTTAAAGGCAACGTCTGCCTCTAGAACTGAATGTTCTGAGTGACTTAAGCTAAAAGAAGAAATGCCATTGGAACACTGCCCAATCAGGGCTATTTGGTCTAGGAGTTTAACAGTCAAAAGCTTAACAAACACATCAGATCAATGGCTTGGTGATGGGAAACTCCGGACCCCTTTCCCCACCCCCACGAAAAATAAAAAACCTTCCAAATCAACTACCAAACAGCATTCGAGACTCAGCCTGTTTTTCTCGAAGATTATGCAGCAAGTTTGTGGGACAGCTGGTCCTGGAACTCAGCAGGCGCTCTGTCATAATTCCGATGCATTAGTGATTGGCTGTTGTCAGGACCCTGTTGATGGGTCATTAGTCCAGGTTATGCTGGTAAATTATGTGCTTTTCTTAGAGCTAAACAGATCCCACGACACCCTTGTTAATCACTTTCGCATTTGAGAATTTTCACACATTACAGAGACACATTTTTTGCCAGGTATGAATAAAGAGCCCTTTATAAAACTGTGCCGCCGTCTGCAAATGCTGAGATATAATAAAGCCTTTCTAAGGTGTTTTAAAAGATGAGACTTTCAAACTCGAATTGTGTGTTAATTAATACTGGATTTGAGCCCCCATCTATATATTCTGTAGCTATTGCCTGTGGCTGCTATAAATATGTCTAATTTACCACTTATTTTTAGAGATACTAAATTTTAATATTTGCTGTCAGCATGGAATTCCCCTCTGGTGAATCTACTCTATTAGCATTATATTAAAAACAGATTTCCTTGGTTAAGAAAGAAAATATAGGGCCTCTCCAGCTTTAAAAAAAAAATTCTCAGAAATTACGATGAGTTATTAATTTGTAACATCTGTGATTGGGTTATGTTACACTGGGAAAATCCCAAGAGATGCAGGGCAAGCAATCCTCTTGAAAATGACTTCATATCTGAACGCTCTGGGGACACAAGGCCAGGCACTGTGTCATCATGGCCTGTCCTTGATAAACTGTTGGATGGGTTCCATGAATTGTAAATAGAAACATTACTGGTGTCACTTACACTTAAGGATAAAATGGTCAGTGCTCCCTTCTCAACAGATATTAGTTTACATTGTATATTGTGATTGACAGAGGCATGAATCTGTCAACAATCAGTCTTGCAGAGTTTTTTGGTCTCCCACTGAGAACAGCTCTATAAAAGCTTAAAGTCTACATGTGACTCCTTTACTATTGCTTACCTCCTTTAAATTCTATAAAAGCCATTTTGGTTCCAATGAAATTGACCCCAAAAAAAGTTAGAGAGAGGTTATTTGCTTTGAATTTTAATCTCCGTACTCTGAAGAGGTTTTCATACAATGCATATCATAATAATCCAAGGTACATGTCATAAAAGCATTATTCACGGAAGACTTGACTAGTCTTGGACTAGAACCAACCATCTGGGTGATGCCTAATATGAGTTTTTGAACACATTCCAATATGCTCTTTTTCCCTCGATGTTAAAATAGGCAAAGTGCGTCTTAAGTGCAGTTTTGTTTTTAGTTTTCAAGTATGGAGTATTTCACAGGCTGATTCAGAAGCCTGTCACCAAAAGCCCCAATATACCCTTTCTCTACTCCATTACCTAATTATGCATCACTGACTCCTTCATATTATGAAAACTCTGTAAGGAATTGTGATGTTAATTGCAGAAAATCAAATGCCTCCTGAGTAAGGTGGATTAGTTTTATAAAATATACTAAAAAGATTAAAATATGTAAATCAAATGTCAAGTTACACATGCAAACCCAATTTCCTTTTACACATTTCAGATGAGTCACCCAAACCCATCCCAGCCCCTTAATTCAGTGAGTCGGTCTGAGGTTTTTCACAATAGAAAAAGGCTCTTGGCCTCTGTAGATGGGTGATCTACCATCTTTTCCTTTTTATTCATCAACAGTGCTAATAATGATGAGATTATACTATCTTTTAATAAAATGTATTTTTTACTTTAAAATTTCTTACCACTTCCAGGCAGTCAATAATCTTGGTTAATTTATCTTCAGGTAGATTCTTCAGCAAGGATACACTTCAAAATTAAAAAAAAAAAAACCTTTATTTAATTATCTTCCTGAATTAAACTGCAAATACACACCTATATGTAGATTCAAAAATCTTTATGTGCATTTAAAAAAATAAATGCACTTTTATTTTTCCAAAGTAAACCTCCAAATAATATCACACATAGATAATTGATTTCAAGTACACTGAAATTATATAATCACAGACATTTATCATAGGTAAATGAATAAAAATAGTAAGATACCATAAAGAGAAAAAATCAAATTTTGTCTGTTTGGCGAAAAAATATTTTACATTTGTTGGTTTTCAAAGTGAATCATGTCCAGAAATGCGTTTCTCTCCACATCTCAAGATCTCATTCTTATTACCATGGGTGAGGAGCTCTGTATCCAGAGAAGGATCAGATTTTCATCTAAATCCTTGTAATTAAGTAAAGACTGAGTCCAAGGGGGAATAATGTAGGAATTAGCATGGAAATGATCTTTGATTATCAGTCATACTGTACTGTCTTTTGAAATTAATGGTAGCCAGAGGCATGTAATAGAAACATTTTTACAGATAATATACAGAGGATGAAACAGAATACTGAAACATTATTTGAAAAATAATCAGAAATCTCACTCAGTATGATTAACCAATCAACAGATTAAATTGTTCTTTTAGAGAAATTTCTCGTCTACTTTACCCATTTTTACTCAAGACCGTTAATATAATTTCTCTAAGATAAATACTTCTTTCTTACCATCTAAAATTTGACACTGCTAAGGAAAAAATAATGCTACTCCACAAATACATGACTGGATCTGATTTGTGAAAAGAGAGCTCTAGACTGATCCTTGCACACGTGCACCAGGAGGCATGTGGCCAGGAGGTGTGTGTAAGAATGTATGCATCCGACACATTTGTAATTGCAAAACAGTGGAACACCCCCGCAATGGGAGCAGATAAACGCACTAAGGTAGTCATATAATGGAACTCTACGACCGGAGAAATGACTGAACTAACCAAATGGATGAATCTTAGAAAAAATATTGAGTGAAAAAATTGAGTTGCAAAAATAAGACCAATTTTATAAAGTTCAAAAATAGGCTAAATCAAGCTATATATATAAATCAAGCAAAACAATAAGGAACACCAAGGGAATGATTACTAAACTTCAGAATATAGATTACCCCAGGGAGAGGGGATAGGCGGCTGGGAAATGACGTTGGGGAGCACAGGAGAACTCCAACAACAGGGCTGACTCTCTACTTTTTAGGCTGGGCAGCGGCTTGACAGCACTCGTTGTGTTATTATGTTTGATAATTCATGTACTATGTATCTTTTATATATATCACACACTCCATAATAAAAAGATGTAAATGGAAAAAGAAAGAGCTTAATGTATATTATGAAACAAAGAGAAATGTATTTCTCTAATATGTCTCCCTATTGATGAAAAGGTAAAAGGGAACCAGAACTTTTTATTTTTTTGAGGAAGATTAGCCCTGAGCTAACTGCTGCCAATCCTCCTCTTTTTTGCTGAGGAAGACCGGCCCTGAGCTAACATCCATGCCCATCTTCCTCGACTTTACATGTGGGACGCCTATCACAGCATGGCCTTTGCCAAGCGGTGCCATGTCTGTACTCGGGATCCAAACCAGTGAACCCTGGGCCACTGAGAAGCAGAACATGTGAACTTGACCGCTGCGCCACCAGGCTGGCCCCAGAAATTTTATATATATATATATACATATAGTGGCACTTACTGCAAGGGAATACTTCTGTTCCTTTTTTTTTAATTGATTAACACACGCTCATCATGAAAGTTCTACTTCTGGTCCAAACTAGGATCTACAATGTTAGTAAGATTCTCTCCTGTAAACCATCACTTTTGGGGATTAGTGAGGAAATTGATATGAGGAAAAATCTTCTTTGTCTCCCCTCTATGAAGGCAGAGATCAAGTTTTTCTTGTTGAGCACTGAATCCACAATGTTTAGAGCCTGGCAATAAGTATTTGTTGAATGAATGCCTGAATGACATAACAAAATGAAGAAAGGAAATGTACTAATAAATTCTCTCAGCCCCTTCCCCTAAGACAGAACACACTAGACTCCAAGGGAATGAACTGGTACGCCCAGTGGTTCAGGTTTTATCTCAGACATTCAACCCATTAGCACTGGTTTATTTATTTATCCCTTTTTGGCTTTTGTGTGAGAGTCATTCATTAGCTTTAAATGCTGACCTGTGTTGCTCAGTTGTTGGATTTTGAGATCACCTATACTCAGGTAGACCCCACAACACGACGGTAAGGCACTGGTCGGCATATAGGTAAAGGCACCTGCTTGTCATTATGGCTGCCCTCTGCCAGGAGTCATTATTGTCTCTGTGAGAGTAAATCAGCAAGATTCTATAGGAGAAACTTAATGCCTGCCACATTCTACTGATTAGCAATGCCTTCATTCACTATTTATTGAGTCCTCACTATATGCTAGGCACTGAATAGCCCGAAGATCACTGACTTCGCAGGCTAGTTACACAAGATAAAATTATTATACTCAAACAGAACTTAGGAGTTATTTTTTGAAACTGCAGGATATTTTACTATTATTGCCACTTATGGGTAACATTTCATTACAGTACGTATTGCAGCTTCAGAGACTGTCAAAGCTCCCACAAAGGCAGAAATAGTTTAAATAAGAAAATTGCATTTGCCAGAAAAAAAATTTTAACGTATAACTGACTTTTTCAGTTACATAAGTATTTGTTTCTCTATAATTTGATGCATCCAAGTCGTTGGGGATACAGTACGGTTCACAAAATAAATATGTTCTGAGGATCCATGCCATCAGGGCAAGCATAATAACATTTTTGGTAAGTTAATTTGCTACAAATAATAGTAATTTGAAAGATGGTGTGGCTATGCAAATAAGAAAAAGAACATCTCAGGTAAAGCAAGTAAGGACAGTAAAATAAATTAATTTTAGTAGTATTCTAGGCAAAGCATTATTAGAAAGATTATCTTTAGCTATCCACTTCCAAATTATAGAATGTCTTTCAAATATCAACTGAGCAATCCAGGTGAATATTTTAGGATTCTTTGCACATTTTTCTATACTATATACAATGACTCCATCAATACAAGAGCAAAATTAGCAAGAGAACTAAACCAGTGCACAAAGCTAATGGGAATTAAATAAAAATTTTTATATATAGTGGCATTTACTGCAAGGGAATACTTTTGTTCCTTTGGTTTAATCACGAGGAAAGTGCTTAAATGAGAGAAGCTATAGTAAAGTAATTATTCTGATAAAATCCTTGTATCCACAATATGGCTTCACCATCTTCTGCTCTTTCCACCAATGTGTTTTTCTTACCTTCTAAGGAAGTTTCTGTACTGTTCATCTCTCGCTTGAGCTGTCCTTCTCATTATATTCTGGAATACCTCTCGATCTAGTGCCCAAGTTTTAACATTGGTAATAGCTTTAGAAAAATCAAGAAAATAATAAAATATTATTTAGCCCCACATTAAGAAGACACTCTAAAATGTTAATCAGTAAATTTTTCATATATTCTCATAAAATGGTATTTCTTGGAAAAACGCACAGTCCACAACAACAAACATGCAAATAGAAGAAAGTAGTGATATAAATAGTGGGTAATTTTATAAAATCATTTTTGGCTTTGAAATGAAGCGATTTGGAAGTGAGTAGCAAAAAATTTCCTTTCTAATTATATTTTGCTTAGGATGATATCAAAATTAGTTCGCAATTCCTAATTACACACTACATCATCAGAATGTATTTCAGATTTGTGCTGTGATACAGCAGAAAGCCAGCCAGCCTATAGCTAAACAAAGAGTGAAGACTTCACAAGCAGAAAATTGAAAGTAAAAGATCTCTGTGTGTATAAGTGTGTTTTCATGTCTTTTTATGTTGTTTAGACATCGTTGTAAATGAGAGCCAAAATATTTTAAGGGTATCTTTACGGTTACTTTTGTATAAAATGTATACAAATCATTTTCAAAGAGACTATGCAAGACAATTTTTGGAGACAATTTTTTTATAGGAAAGACAGAAAGCAAGAATAAAATCTAAAAAGGAAGAAGAGCAGAAGTAGCAGGTCTAAAAACATCTATATGAAATTATGGTTGTAAGCTTTTTTAAAAAGGAGAAATGAGAGCCTATAAAACAGAACAAAATCCAAAGCTCTGGTTTATTAAACTTTAGAGTGAATTAGAATCATCTTGGCATTCTTGTTAAACATGCAGATCCCTGGGCCCCATTGCCAGAAGTTGTTTAGAGCGAAGCCCCAGAATCTGCATTTTTTTAATCAAACACTGCAGTAATGATGAGACACGTAATGCAGTCCCAAACACTGAGAAAAATTACATCTAAGTAATTCAGAAGAAAATCCCAGATCACCAAGAATAAAGTCAACAAAAACAGGAACCCTAAGGAGAAGCAATTAAACTAATCCCAAAAGTCATTCATGGAAACTCTCATTAATTAATTCATATCTCTTTTGATATATACACATTTTCATTGGCTTAATTATTTTTTTCTGATTTATAATATGGTCAGAACCTCATGGAGAAGAGAAAGCAAACATTCTGGATGAGCCAAAGGCAGATGTCTACACAGTAAACAAGTGAAGTGGCCATTAAAGCAAATATTGGAATCATTCAATTTAAAGCTATTTTCCTATTTGATATACAGGTATCTGATGGGAAGGTTCTTTTAAGCTTAAATCATTTAGACAAGGTTTCAATATAAATCCTTTCATAAGCATAGCACTTCTATTAATAACAGCATATGAGACACAATGGGAGACAAAAACCTCAGGAGGCAATAGTGACTTGGGTTATTTTAACGCTGTGTAACAACTCAAAAATACAGGATTTCATCTCCTGTTACCTTTCACAGAGGCAGTCCTTGTACAGTTGTATAAAATGGCTAGTTCCCCAAACGTGGTCCACATAGGGATGGACGATAGCAATTTCTCCCCTTGGAACACCTCTAGTTGGCCCTCTATCAAGTAGAATTTAAGAAAAACACAAATAGTCAAAATCCACCTGAATTCCATCAATTAAAAAATAAAACAATCAGAAAGTATAAACAAGAACACAGGTAAGATATCTTATGGTTCTCATTATAATCAAGTGGTTATGAGTACAGACTGAAACCAGTTCCGCCACTTACTTACTGTTAACCAATTCACCTTAAAGGAGTTACCCACTCTGCCTGTGTTCCTCGTTGATAATGGGGATGATAATAATATTTACTTCATGCAGTTGTTGTGACAATTAAATAAGTTAATATAGATAGGGAACAGAGACACATAATAAAAGTCAGGAAGTCTTAATGATGCTGTTAATATTATTATCATTGTTACAAAGCTCTTTCCCTAAAGCAGTGGATGGCAAGTGTTTTATCTAAAATTCATTCCACCCCATGAAAAATGCTGTACATGAAACTATTTCTCTTGTGCAAGGAACACAACAATCACTGTATGTCTTGAAAACAGGGCACAGACGTTCATGCCGGCAGAAGGACTAACTTGTCATAACTGAGAGGTGAACTGGCCCTGGAGTCACACTGCCTGCCTCTGACTGGTCACTGGCTGTGTGACCTTGGGTGAGTTACTTCACCATGCCTCAACTGTTGTCTAAGCCCCATTCACTGAGATGAATTAATGAATGGAAGTCACTAAGAAGAGTGCTTGAGAACAACAATATCAAGACAATTAGAAGACAAGCTACAGGCTGGGAGAAAATATTTTTGCAAAAGACACATCTGAGAAAGGACTGTTTTACAAAATATAAAAAATATACTGTTTTCTTAAAACTCAACAAAAAGAAAACAATCCACTTAAAAAATGGGCCAAAGATCTTACCAAAACTCACCAAAGAAGATTTACAGATGGCAGACAAGCATATGAAAAGATGCTCCACACCATATTTCATCAGAGAAATGCAAATTAAAACAATGAGATACTACTACACACCCATTAGAATGGCCAAAATCTGGAACACTGACAACACCAAATGCTGGTGAGGATGTGGAGCAACAGCATCTTTCATACATTGCTGGTAGGAATGCAAAACAGTACAGCCACTTTGGAAGACAGTTTGGTGGTTTCTTGCAAAATTAAACATATTCTTACCATACAATCCAGCAATTGTGCTCTTTAGTGTTTACCAAAAGGAGCAGAAAACTTAGGTTCACACAAAAATCTGCACATGGATGTTTATAACACCTTTATTCCTAATTGCCAAAACTTGGAAGCAACCAAGAAGTCCTTCAGTAGGTGGAAGGATAAACTGTGGGACATCCAGACAATAGAATATTATTCAGCACCAAAAAGAAATGAGCTATCAAGCCATGAAAGACACAGAGGAACCTTAAATGCATATTACTAAGTGAAAGAAGCCAATCTGAAAAGACTACATACTGTATGATTCCAACCATATGACATTCTGCAAAAGGTAAAAGTATAGAGAAAGTTAAAAGATAAGTGGTTGCAGGGGTTGGGAGGGGTGGATGAACAGGCAGAGCACAGAGGATTTTTAGGGCAGTGAAAATACTCTGTATGATATTATAATGATGGATATATGTCATTACACATTTGCCCAAACCTATAGCATATAAACATCAAGTATGGACTTTGAATGATTCTGATGTGTCAATGTAGGCTCGTCTTTGATAGAAAAAAAAAATGTACCATTCTAGTAAGTTATGTTGATAATGGGAAAGGCTATGGATCTCTAGGGGCACGGGGTATATGGGAAATATCAGTCCCTCTCTCTCAATTTTGTTGTAAACCTAAAACTGCTCTAAGAAATAAAGTCTTATAAAAATAAAAAAGAAGAAGAATGCTTGATATTAATCTCTATCTAGGCAAAGGCTGGGGGAAGAGAGAAACAGAACTTCAGGCAACCTCCTCACAATTCTTTCGCCCTGGCAATTCTCCTCTCCTTTCCCTTCAAACATGCAAATAAAGCTCACCTAACCAAAACCTTAGGCAAAAAAGATCTATATTCTTAGAGGAAGAAAATTGGTGGGGTTATTTCTCTTTCCCTTGAAGATTTAATCTTTCCTTCTCCCAATTACCACTATGTAGCTCTAGTCATCTCTGTCCATCCATTCATTCAACAAATCTGATCTGAATACCTACGTTGTGCCAGGAACTAGTCCAGGTGCCAGAGAGACAGGGTGGACAAAGCAGAAAAGATACTCATGCTATTAGAACTCATATTCTAGTAAGAAATAAACCCTGTTTTGGCTCCAAATCCTAAAGATTAGATATGCAGTTTAATAATTTCTCATTACAACTAAATTCTATTCCATTGAAAGCACTTAGTTGGACTGTTGAGTTGATATCATGGATCTCAATGCATTTCAAGTTTTTTTCCTAATTGGTTATGGCTCATGAGACTTGAGCAATACTGAATAATTATATGGAATAACAAAAGTTTAAGCTAAATATGTTTTTATTATTTGTTATTCATGCTATATTTTATAAAGGCAAGATTTTTAATTAACAAATTAATTAGCTCAATTAGTTAAGTTACACAATTCAGTCTTTAGGTAACATCATGATTAACTCAAATAAGAAACTATCTGATTTTCCTTTTCAAATGTGATATATCCTGATTTCAGTGGCTGTACTGATGCTGACTACTGTTCAAACTCCTCTCCCCAAGCCTTTCATCAGAGTTACTGACAAGGAACAAGATGGGCTGACATGAGTTCATCCTTTCCTAGCAGGTTCCATAAATATTTCTTGACTTAATGACCTTTCTTCTCTTGCCAGAACGTTCTAGCGTTGCTAAAGTAGAAGTGAAATGGCCAAGAGAAAAGTTAAAAGAGGAGAGGATTGTTCTCGATTACCTGTCCCTAAAAACTTGAAGGCTAGCTAAATTGACTATAATCTACTTCTTGGGTAGAAAAATTACTTGAGAATCACTATAATTTTAAGGGTGTCTACAAAGATGTTTATGGCATATAATACATGAATACTTATGAAACTGGCATGTTTAAAGAATCAAAGTATATGAAAACAATCTTTTATACTCTATAAATAGAATAATAAACATTTATTTGTTTGGATAGGTAACTTCTGCCCCACACCTAAGGCCCCAAGGAAACAAGAATCATAAAAGATTGCCAGGAATTATAATGCAAAATAGAAGGCCACAGCACATCTCAGGTTACCATTCCATCTGAGTAAGCCAGTTTAACTTTTTTCCCTAAAACTCCAAAAGTTGGGACAAAATCAGAATTTGACAGAGTGTTCAATAACCATAAGCCATGTTCAGATAATTTCTTGCTCCTATATCTAAAAAAATTTCTTTAGGTAGCACTATAAGATTTATGCGTTTGATACGCATTTGAGAAATAAATCCTTTGCCTATCTAACCATTATAATCCACCCAGCATGTAAGCATGTTCAAGTGATCATATATGGCGGAAACCATTTAAATGGCCCTAACAACACCAGTTTTAACCTTAAGGCATTCCATTTGATTCATCTGTTGGTTAAATGTACCTAAATTATCTTTTGAAATCATTGGTATATAACCAAAATACTTTACAGAACCATGGAAATAATTGTTTTCTTTTTCCTGGTATAACAACCTAAAAATGTCAATATAAGCAGCAGTATTTTCTATACTTTGAAAGACGTTTTTGTAGTTGTAGGGTGAGTGGCACTGTGATTAAAAGTATGGACTCGTGAGTCAGATTGTCTAAGGTTGCATTCTGCCTCCACCACAAATGAGTTGTGTGGCCTTGGGTAAGTGACCTAACCTCTCTGTGACATAGTTCACATTAATAACATGGAGATAATGGCACTTGCCTAACAGAGTCGGTGAGCTGAAATGAGATCTCTCTATTAAGTAGTCAATAGGATGTCTGACATATAGAAAGGATTCAGTTAATACTAAGTATTATTATCATCATGATTGGATCAACAACGTAACTATTTCATGAGCTCAATCTATTATATTTTCTACAAACAGAGCAAGTAGTTTTGTATTTTTATAAATGTTTGCAAAAAATTATGAGGCAAATATTTGTTATATGATAACTAGAAAAATCTGTTATATAACAACTAAAAAACACTAGTTTTATGATAATTAGAAAAACCCACCTGCCAGCACAAAGATATGGTTTCCTGGTTCTCCTTGCTTAATAATGTAACTCCCTTGCTGGTAGTTTCTCCCATACATGCATTCCACCATGTCTTTGATCTGCTGAGGATCCAGTCTCTTCAGAAACTGATTTTTATTAAGGGCATCCGTAATGAGCTTCTTCTCACTGTTATAATGGAAAAGAGACATTAGTTACAGTTAATGAAAACCTGAATCTTGCCATTACTACTATATACTTACAACTTTTCCAGCAGGGATAAATTTTTTTTCTAGCCCCACCAATACCTGACCCTCATAACTATCATACTTTACATGGAAATCCTTTAAAAATATTTTTGAGTATTTTTCTGGTAATCATTATTAAATCAATTTTTATCATCACTCCTAATTGTCATCATCACAAATGTAGCATTTATCAAAATCCCTGACACACTACCAATGGATATATGACTTTTAGATGGAAAGCAAATCTGGTTGGCAGGTGGACGGTGTATTTAACAGATTACAACACAGTATTCATCCACTGACATGCACACACGCATAGTGCCGATGGCAGTAACTTTATATTTTATTTAATCCTCACCACTCTCCAGTGAGATAATTACTATCCCTACTTTATCAATAAGTAGACTAAAAGGTAAGAAGCAACTTATTCCCTCTAGGATTTATATCTAAGTCTGTGAATTTGAAGTCTGAGCTACTTCCATGCCATCACTTGCCTCTTCTGAGCTGGAAAAGTCGGCTCCCTTGGGACTTGGTTTGATCAATCACAGAAGATGCTGGTGGTGGTCTGGGTTTGCCTAGATTTTGTACTCTTGGTATATCTAGACTAGACAGAACCTACATTTCCAATCTCACAGACTATTCATTCCCAAATTCAAGGTCCACTTGTTGATAATCCTAGAACATTCTATTTTCTTTTGGAAAAGAAGTATCTCAAAATAATTACCCAATCAATATTACTATAAATTTCAAATGTTTTAATTACCATACCTTATATGGAGCTATCATAGAATTAATGAGCTGAAGAAAAGTTGCCTTGTGGGCTAAGTCAGAATCTTTGCACAATATATTTGCGCTCACTCAAACTCAGTGTGATTTTTTTAAAGAGGTTTTTTTTTCTGTATTTGTTATTCAAATTCTCTCCCATCACTAGCTTTACTGTTTCAAAATTTGTTATCTTTTTCTACATAGAAAGTTTTCAAACCCAAGGTAAAATTTCATGGAATTAGATACTTCCTTTATGACCCCATCCATCAGATCATTAGGCTTCATGAAAGAAACAGAATGAATTCTTGTACAGAAATCTCTTCTTCCCTCCAGTCACTCCATCATCCTCAGAGCCATCTAAACCTTGAGAACTTCTTTCCTCCTTCACCTAATCTATCACCAAATCTTGTCAATTCTCTTTACAAAATATCACTGTTATCCATTTTAGTTTCCATTTTCAAGGACGTCACTACAGTCCAAGAAAAAACCTTAGGTCTGGACACTTTAACAGCTTCTTTTTTTGGTATTTTAGTTTCTAGCCTCTTTCTCCCACAGTCCATTCTATACTGTATTATCAGGTTAATCTTGCTAAAAAACTAACTTCACTCTAATCTCATTCTTCCTTCATCCACTAAAACCAACAATTCATTCAATTGATATAGCGTATACTGAGAAAATACTTTTGCTAGATGTTCTTGTCAGTGCAAGTGGTAGAACTGTGAACAACAACCAAAAGCCCCAGCTTTCATGGGCCTTTCATGCTAGTGTAACTTTCCAGGAAATGTTTCCTCAAGGCCTACATATCCCAATATCCTAAAATACATTCCAAGAAGCACTGCTCCTTTATAAGCAAAAGTGTGCTGAGTTTAAACAATTTTGGAAATTCACAAAGCATACCTTAAAGGTTCAAAGAAATCTTGCGGTAAACAAATCTGTTTAAACCTTTTCCAAAACCTCAATGGCTTCTTTATTTATTTCTTTTTTTGGTTTAACTTTTATTAATACTCCATGGAAGTATTGTGAAAACTCTTTTCACCATAGAAGAAAATCAACATCCCACAATCTGATATTGCCCATTTCCCACCACATGGCTTCAGTATATCCATCTTGCACTTACTCCTTAAAATAAATCCTTTGTTATAGATAGACTGGTATCTTCATTGTCTCCTATGCCTGCCAGCTTTACCTTCAGGCTTGGCACGTGTTTTCTCCCCTAACTTAGTTTCTTCTCCCCTCAACCTACCCAAACCTTACACTCTACCAAGAAACCTCTCATGACCTCATCAATCCTGCCCGGATACCATAGCTCAGACAATCTTTTTATTCTACTCTAAACTCCTAAAGTACTTGTATTCATGTCCATTCAATTCAACAAATTTATCAAGCATTTACTTAGGACACAAAAATTAACTAAGCATGGCCCATGGCCTCAAAGAGTTCCCAGATCCTTTTAAACTAGTTTAGTGAATAAACATACTGTAATATTCCATTAGAAAAGAGCTCTCTCTGAGTTTTCCTCCAAACTAGATTATAAATTCTTGGAGGAGTGGGTCTTGTCTTGAATTTTTTGTTTAAGCAGCAGAATAAAGCACTGATTAAGAGTGTGAACTTTGCAACTCCTCCTACAACTATGATACGCCTGCTATTATAAGCACAACAACTATAACAGGTGATTAAAATATAAATTTACAAATCTGTTTGAAAGCTTTGGAGATCTATGAACATAACAAAAGCTTGATGAGCCATGATCAATAACAGAACATGAGCTTGACATTCACCTCTGCTTTTCTTTTCAAGGTATTTACTGACTTATAGGCAGCACTGAGTAGAGTTTTGGCAGTCCCAAAGGGTTAGAAAGACAAAAGTTTGTGTTCAAGACACACCATGATGAAGGGGTCCTGTTAAACACTGAGGATTTCAGATGGGATATCTAAAGGGCTGCAACCTAGAATTAAGGACTAACCAAAAACAAGCTAGCTCTCAAAAAGACTGAAAACCAACTTTGAAATGACTGATTCCTATTTCCTATTTTGGTCAAAATAATTTTCCCCTAGCCTAACCGCCTGGTAGAAGCAAAGGTAAATCTTTTCTGTAGGATGTTCACAAAATCTAGAACTCAAATTTTCTCTACAGTTTTTCATAAGAAACATCTGGTATGAGATCAAAAATTACTAGGCATACCAGTAGAAAAGATCGAATGACTGAAGACCAAGAAGAAAAAAAGACAATAGAAATAGATCCATAGTAGATAAAAATGTTGTAGGCATCAGATACATACCTTAATATAATTGTAATTAATGTTTAAGAAAATCAAGGACAAAATGGAGAATTTCAGCAGAGAATACAAATCTTGTTTAAAAGTGAAATATAGATTCTAGAATTGGAACACATAATATTTAAAGTTTGGAACTAATAGATGAGTTTGGAACTAATAGATGAGTTTAAAAATCTCATAAAACACAGTTGAAAAGGGGTAGAAACTGAATATAGGCATGTAGAGTATATCTGGATGGAAGACTGAAGAGAACCTGAGATGGAAAATACAGCAACAACAACGAAAACAAAACGAAACATAGGAAACATATGAGGCATGACAGAGAAGTTGAACATATGTGTAATCTGGGCCACTGAAGAAAGGGAAAGAACTGGCCTGAAACAATATATGAAGGTATCATGTTCAAGAATTTTCTTAAATCAATGAAAATACATCAAGTCACAGACAAATCCCAAACAAAATATATACAAAGAAAACCATATCTAGTCTCATCATAGTCAAAGTACTGAAAACCAACTAGAAAGAGTAAACTCTACAAAGTAGCTGAAGAAAAGAGACACATTATCTTCAAAAGACCAACAATAGGACTGACTTACTCTTCAACAGAAATAATGGAAGCCAGAAGACAATGGAATACCCTCAAAGTGCTTGAAAGTGCCTATTTTAATATCTTTATCCACTGAAAATGTCTTCAAAAATGAAAGCAAAATGAATATATTTTCAAAAATGTTATTCCATTGACAACAGACGCAGAAGAAAAATTATCCCAGATGGAAAACAGTAAATGTTAGAAGGAAGAAAGAACAATGGAAAAAGTAAATATATGTGTGACTAGAAGAAGCTTACCTTGATAAAAGAGTAATACCTTGTAGAGTTTAAAATATATGACAGATAAAATGTATGAAAACAACAGCCAAAATTATAGGGGTGGGAGGGATAAAGGGGTTGTCAGTAAATGCAGTCAACGTAATTTAAGGTCTAGAAATGCATAAAAATATTGACCTATATTAGAAATTTAACAAATTAAGGATGCATGTTATAATGTAGGGTAACCCCTACAAGATTAGTCAAAGAATGTTTAACTAGAAAGCTTTTCTCTTCACAGAAGAGAAAATGGAATAATAATACATACCTGATCAATCCAAGAAAATGGCAAGAAAGTAAAGAAAAAGAAACCAATGAAGTGGAGCAAATAAGAAACAAATAGTAAGATGTTAGAGTTAAGCCCAAATATTTTGTATTTACATTAAACATAAATGTACTAAAAACCCTAATTAAAAGACCAAATTGTTGGACAGACTGACAAAAAAATTAAATAAAAAAGAAATACTAAATATGTGTTGCTTATAAGAGGTATGCCTTAAAGATAAAAATATAGAAATGTTCAAAGTGAAAAGATGGAAAAAGATATACTATGTAGACACCAATTATTAAAAACATTTTCCTGTATACAGGAAAGTAGACTTTAATGAAAAACACATTTCTAGAAATAAAGAGGAATATTTCATATTGATATCATCAGGAAGACATAAATATTCTAAATGTATATGCTCCTAATTAGATAGCATCAAATTGACAAAAAAAAAAAAGACAAAATTAAAAGAAGAAATAGACAAATCCACAATCATTTTGGGAGATTTTAACACATTTCTCTAGGGAGCTAATAGAATAAGCAGACAAAAATTAGTTAGAAAATGGAAGATCTAACTGGTATTTTAAAAGACTATATTCAACAAATTCAAATTACACATTCTTTTCAAGAGCACATAGAACTTTCATGAAAATTGATCATATGATGGACCACAAAGCAAGTCTCAATAAATTTCAAAGAACTGAATCATACACAGCATGTTCTTTGAATACAGTAGAATTAACTAGAAATAAATAACAAAAATAATCAG